ATTTGTTTTTAAGGTGGAAATGCATTTTAGTGATTTGTTTTTAAGGTGGAAATGCATTTTAGTGATTTGTTTTTAAGGTGGAAATGCATTTTAGTAGTTTTTAAGGTGGAAATGCATTTTAGCGATTTGTTCTTAAGGTGGAAATGCATTTTAGTGATTTATTCTTAAGGTGGAAATCCATTTCAGGGACGACACAAAGATCTCGTTCCTGCTTTTCTACTCTGAACTTTTTCACCTCATGTGAGGCTCTAAGTTTATGCAGGGTGCTGGTGGGGGGGTCGTGTAGGGACGGCTTTCTCTGAAGGTATTTTTATGTGGATTAGGGGGTGTTTATGAGGACTGGCTGACCACAAAAGGGGGAGGGGGGTGTTTCTCCTCACTCTCCCTGTTTTCCCCTCTCTAGCCGAATTAGCTGTGAGTGTAGCGGAGTGCGATCAGGGTGTAGCTGATTCACACACACACGGCCGCTGGACGCAAACGCAGATGGAAAAGTACAACAGCGTTCCAGCTGAAGTTAAAGCTTGTCGGGTAAACAGGACACTTCAACTTTTAAAGGCCCTGCTCGCCCCCCTTTTCTCATCTCGCTGGAAACTGCGGTGAAATGTATCTTATCAGGATTTAACGCGTTCCAGCCCAGATCAGTCAATCTGTGGGTGTTTCTATGACGCCCAACCGTGCGTGCGCGACGTACATACGTGTGCGCGTGGAGCGTGTGCCGGTATCTGCAGCCGGTGGTCTAAATAACCTACTTTTGTCTGACAGCGGCGCGGAGACACGGAGGTGCACATATGCAGAAAGCTATTTGGAAAGGCCTCCTCGTAGCTGTCAGCTTTTATTATGCGCTGAGGTGTCATGTTTGTTAGGAAGCTGAGTGCAGATGGCAGAGTGGAAGAAATGGATCACTAATTTTAACAATGATTAATGAACAGAGATGGAAAATGAATTACATCGGACTATTGGAGGCAAGGAATATTTTCTCTGAAAATGTTAACTTCGGCTGCCAGGCAGCCGGCCGTGCTGTGGGTGTTATTGAGGAGGGGGAGGGTGTGTGTGCGTGTGTGTGTGTGTGTGTGTGTGTGTGTGTGTGCGCTCTAAGGTGCAATTTTTCCCTGCATCTTTTGTAGAATCAACACTTCACTGCTCTTGCCTATTACTTTAGTGCTCGCCTGCTTAAACACTGCCAGCTTCACACACGCTGTTGTTCCCCCTGTGTGTACTGCTCTAGCAGTTAAGGTACACACTCTTTAATAAGGTAAACACAGGAAAGGTTAGACTGTCTTAAAATGTTCCCTATTTTCATTACTCTGCACTGCGCTTTATATCAAATCAGAGATGTTGCAGATTCAATCAAGTGTTAGCAGCTCGTGCCGAGGCGTCTGCCTTTAACCGCTCTCTGAGCGCGGCGTGTCTGCAGGTCTGCAGGCGGAGGCGTGGCCGGGGGTGTTCGGACTCCCTTTTTGTCCCTACGGGTGCAGTGTGTACCTGTGCAGCCCACGGGTGCACCTGTGTGCCCTGAAGGCTCGCGCATGCTCTGTTTCTTCTGCACTCGTCAGATATTCCGATGAGGAGCTTCGATGTCGTGACACGGTGGTGCAGAGGTCAGCAGCACGGTTCTGGTTTGAACCTTGACCTCCGTTTCTGCAGGCTTGCATTAGAGCCTTTTTATTTTTATTTTGTGAATGTTTTTGCAAAATGTAAAAATGTTCAAACTGAAGCCTCAGTGCAGAATAAAACCTGCTGCAGTCTTAACACCACACATATCAGCTCCATCAGACCTGCAGAGGACGAGTCAGCTTTCAGATGTGAGGCAGCCCGACCGCAGACCTGCCATCCTGTTTGTGATCTGAGGGGAAACCTTGGAGTTTCTGCCACTTTTTCCCCTCGCATCAGACCCACCCCCTCACCCCGTCGCCCCCCTCCCAGACGTGTCTCTGCCGATGTTCGTCTGGTGGGCGGCTGGTGCAACATGGTTTAATAGGTAGATGTGAACTATTTTGAATTTAATTAATCTCCTGATGGGAAAAAAGAGAAAACAGCAACTTGCAGCAACACAGTGTGTGTGTGTGTGTGTGTGTGTGTGTGTGTGTGTGTGTGTGTGTGTGTGTGCACGTTTGAGGAGACAGAGGGAGAGATCTCAGGTTACGGCAGCATATGCTAAGCACTCGGAAAACATACACAATGCCTTTGGTGAACAAGGTAGTCGGTATGCCCCTGGGAGCCAATTTAGATTGTGACTTAAGGCAACGTCGTGGCTTTGTGTGTGTGTGTGTGTGTGTGTGTGTGTGTGAGAGAGATTTACTCTTGACGCTCCATTGAAACAGTAGTGGTGGGTAAATCTGGGTGGCCCTCCTGCAGACCCTCCACATCTGTGTCCCCCCCGCCCCCCCTGCAGGACTGAGCCGGCTCCTCTCTGCCTGGCTGCTCCTCCACACTCACAGCACACTCAGCCAGACCTCGTTTTACCCAATCACAGCGTCCGCGGTAACCAAACCCGCCGCGGCAGACGACGGTATTGATCCGAGCGTGAGTGGCAGGCGGAGCGCGGCGCGCGGCGTGGAGCGTTTAGCGCCTAGATTGAGGGTAAATATACAAAAAAGGAGATCTCGCAGATTCCCGTCTAAGCAAACTTTGACAGATTTAAGCAAACGTTTGAAATGTCACAAAAGATGAAATGTAAATCAGGAGCAGTTTAGTCAGCTGCGTGGAAACGGATAAATTAACTCCTTCAACAAAGAGCAAAGCTCCGCCACTTTTCAGGCGTCCTCGATCTGAAGTCTGTGCAGAGGAAGCAAACGAGCAGAAGCTCCCGTATCTGCCAGCCGGGCTGCTCTAACAGGAAGTGCCGGCCTTTCTTACTCTGTGCTCGCCGAGCGCTTGTGCAGCGGCGTGGGGCTTTTGCACGCCCCTCATCAGCCGTCACTGCAGAAAACGTCATCAGAAGAAATGAAAAAAGCCCGACACTGATGTGCACAAGCAATTACAGTTCATATATTTGTTAGATTATTCGTGTAAACGACATCACGTCTGCACAGGAAGTGCTGGGGAAAATAAAGCCGTGTGGGGGGGGGGGTTTCTCTGCTGTCGCCACCGTTACAAACTTGTCAAGCTTCAAATGTGTGTGACTGTGAATTTCCTGGTGTGTGTGCTTTGTTTACAGGCTCTTGTCGTCCCACCTTCTGTGAAGCTGTCGGCGCTCTTCCTGACACCCGGCGCTCGCTGGAGAGGCGGCAGTCACGCAGGTACGATCGCACCGATTGATCGCGGGAGAAAGGGGAGGATATTAAAGGTGTCTGTCACATTTGTGCGCTCTCCTGCTTTGCTTTCTTTCCCAAAAGTCCACAAAGTCGTGCCGTACTTTCTCTGAGTTGGCCTGTCGCAGCGTCTGCCGGCGGCTCAACGGCGCGCTCATTGGACTCCACGCTTCCACTGCCAGCGCGCACGCACGTGCTCACGGCAGCTGAAGATGTGGTCAAAGCGGCCGTGTTTGGGCGTGTTTTCGTGCATCCGCGGCGTGGGTTTGAAGGCACATATGCCGGGATGCACGGCGGCAGAGCCGGCAGCAGGATGCGTCGGGGGCGTGTTTCTGCTGCGCGTGTGACTCCGAGTCTGTTAAATCTGCTCTTTGCATCTGTCTGCTATTAAACTGAGTCTGGCTCCGTTTAACGTCTCCTCATCACGCGCAGAGAAAAATAAAAAATCAACCTGTAGCTGCAACATAAATACGAGCAGCGAAGATATGAAATATTGATTCAATTATCAGAAACACTCAGACGCCTGTTTACTTTTTCCTTGGACTGAACTCTGAGCGTCCAGATGTGGAGCCGCTGATGTGAGGCTTCCTGGAAATTTCGGGACGTTTTCGGCTGGCGGGCACGCTGCGGTCAGTTTGCCGCTGGTCGTTACTGTGGTAACAGAGGGGATGGAGACAGGGTTGAGAGAAAGCTTATTTGAACCCAAACCTGGGTCTCTTTTTAAATCGGAGCCGTCTGGTTGCACGAATGTAA